ATAATTGAAAATAATATTTAAAGTTGATAAAAATTAAAAGAAGATTAATGGATAAATATTAATACTAAGGATGATGATGAACTTGAAAAGATATTGGAATAAATCAAACGAAAGGTCTGATTCCCTTTCTAAAATAATTGAATCAGTGGTGCCTTCTAAAATAATAAAACAACAGTCTTACCTTTGGAAAAAGACTATAAACTCCTTAAAAGAACTGTTAAGTCACTCCATTAGGTGATTCTTAGGGAAACCAGGAACCACCGGTAACAGCATTCATTGAATATTGGAGAGGAAATATAGTTTCTTACTTGTGAGTCACATTCTCGTGTGTGCTCAATAATATATCAGAATTTATATGTGTGTCTAACATAATATCTTTATTAGTTTCAGATACATTAGCATCCTCACTCTATAAGTCACTTACCTTGGAGTTGATCTCAATATTAACTTTTGGAGATGAGGCATGGTCTCGAATTACTGATTCCTCAGATATGAAAATACTTTTATCATTATGAACTGATACAATATCATTGATTTTTTTGATTTGATCCATATTTTTTCTGCATGCAAGATATGGGACAAGACTATTATTGCCAGAGGCAACAGTTTTACAGCTAGTATTCGATATAGAACTTTGTTTCTCGCTTTGCGTATTTTTTTCACCATTCCTACTGATCACAGGTTTTGGTTATGTCAACTCCACTGAGATATCCTCCGATTTCAGATGTTTAAGCTCATTAACCGTTGAAGCTAACTCACTTCTCACTTGCTCCAATTTAACTTCTATTTATTTAAACTCAACCATTTTAGATTTAAGGAATAGATTTTCAGATTCTGTTTTTGATAAGTTTTCCTGAATCGAAAATGTGTCTTTTTGAATTGATGCTAATTTACCTTCTAATATTTTAATCATAGCCTGGTGTGATTTTATTTCTTTTAATTGTATATCACACCTGACTTTATACTCATCACAGGAAATCTGTAATTGGATAATCTGAAATGTAAGGTTAGTATTGTTTACTTTCAGTTGTTTAACCTCATTAATAAGTTGGTAAACATGCTTAGAAAGTTTCTCTTTATCTTTATTGGATTGTTTTAAATCATGTTATATACGCTTATTGTCTTTATCTAAGATAGAGCATTTATTAACAAGTCGATTACTACATTCTATAGCAATTTCCCGATCATGATTTGCACAAACAAGTTGATTTTCAAGTTCTGTTTGGCTAAACGGATATCAATTGACAGACATGTCTCCAAGTTTTTTACCTTCACCTATATCTGATAATGTATGAATTTGAGACATCTTATTGATATCTAAAAAAATAAATATATTTGTATTTTAAATGTGATATATTTAACTTTGTCACTAGCTTCGCTATTATATAGAATATACTTATATATTTATAAAGATATACTAGATAGAATATACGTATTAGATAGAATATACGTATTAGATAGAATATATGTATTAGTTATGATATATTAGATCGAATATACATAACTATTATATTTTATTTTTTTCAATATATTTTTTTATTTCAGTATATTTTATATTTTTTGTTAGATATATACATCTTATATTTACATTTACTACTATGCCTAGAGTATGTATACGATCTGATGTGCCTCTATTTACACCCAAAGATTATTTATATATTATGCAATGTCGTGATATAAAACCAAGATATAAAATTTTAAATGAGTTGATGAGTAAGTATAAAACATTGACAAAATGTATTTATCAGATTTGGAGAGGAGAAGAATCTAATAGGGTTCTTTGGGATCAACCTATACTTCACTTATATGATAATGATGATGACTCTAAGCACGATACCAATATATCAAATTCCATTGAGAATATATTTCATATAGAGTCCCAGGTTTTAGATAGGGACAAAGTTTTTTTCCAGGATTCTACGAACTCTCTTACAGGCCTGCTATGTAATAATGTACTAGCAGAGTCAACACAATCAAATAAAGAAACAAAAATAAAGATTCGAAACTCTACTTCTCCACGTGCAGTAAAAAAAAGTAGTACCTCTTCTATAGATAATATATCAAAAATAGAGGCGGATCTTGAAAAATTAATAAAATATACTGATAGATTGACACCTATAAATCCATCTTTGTCTCAATAAGTTGAGAACATCTTTTTACAAGAACTTTACCTGTATTTAAAGCCATACCAAGCCACTCTTCAGTTTTTATGAGTCACTTTTCGAGTTCATTATATTTTTTTTTAAGTCTTTCTCACTAGTCGAGCTAGATGAGATAGTAAATATTTGAGGTGATAAATCTTGCTTCTCTTTTGGTGGATCCGATGCTTCTGGGGCCTTGCTAAAAGTTGGAATAATATAAGACTTACCATGTAACTTCATTTGAAATTGGTTTTTATTCGGGTCAAGAATATCTTGAACTTTTCGAATCCATGTTATACCTAAACATAACATTGATTCAGGTTCACCATTATCAATATGTGTAAAATTTCCAGTAGCTGTAACAGTTTTACCATCCTTATCCTTTATACTAATTGGCACATCCGTAAACTATCCCAATGATTCAGTGATATGTTTAGAGTTACCTTTTATATTAAAGTCAGATAACTTGTCAGCTTTCCATCTAAAGGCATTAATTGCTGCATTATTTAAGGCTCCAAATTCACTTCCATTATCTAAAATTGATTTAGAAATAGATAAATTGTTTATACTAGCATTCAGGTATTGTAGAGATAAAAACCACTCATCTGATTCTTCCTTCCGAACTGTATGAGACTGGCACATTTTTCGCATTACTGGTAAAAGCTTTGAAAATAATTCATTATATGTTATTGGTAATATCTATTTTTTTTTCTGATGAATCATATCATATATTTTTTTCTTTATCATATCCACCCTCATTACTTTCCTCATTAGCTAAAATGCTAGAATTTATTAATTGAAAGAGATAATATTGTTGTGTTCGATTTGATTTGGCTACTGGTTTTTGAAATTGATTGTTTATATTAAGATGAGATAACATATTCCCAATTTCATCTACTTTCTCCTCTAATCTAGTAAAGTTAACTTTTTGCTGTGTACGAGGTCTTTGAAAAGGTTTTTCAGGATAATTTAAATCTAAATCTTTTTTACTATATATTCCTAAATCGTTAAAGTATTTCGCTACATAATAATTTTTATAATATTCTTCTATTTTTAAATTTGATAGGGACTTTTTGGCTATCTAACTGGTTCAATGGTTTGTAGAACTGGTGCCTGTGTTTTTTGCACTTTGGAGAATTGAACTTCCTTTCTCAATTTTTCTATCTTAACATCATAATTGGTTTTTTGTTTCACTAATGTCTCATCAATCATTTTTTGTGTATTGGGTATAGGAAATACTAATTGTGGAATTATAGGAACTTCTATTATTTTGGTGTTATAGAAAGATTGTTGAGAAACTTGACCATTCAAATTTGGTGTGCACTCCAGCTACATGTTTTTTAGTTTGATGAAAAATGCATTAATGCTTACTAGATTAGCAATTCTCATCCAAGTATAAAAACACCTGTCAAATGGCTTTTTAGGAATCCTAAAACTTGTGCATCATTGTCTGTTACTCCTAATAATAATAGTCGAATTCTAACTTCATAGGTATCTGGAGTGTCATAGGGCTGATATTTTTTCTGAGTCAATCTTTGAATAGCTAATTGTTGATTTCCAACAGTCTCCCGTTGGTATTTTGCTCTTAATCAATCTCATAATGTATCTGGAGAATTTATAACTGGATTTTCCACTATAAGACCATTATTTGTTAGTACTGGAGCATATTTTCCACCCATCATAGATTTTAAAATATTACACTTAACTGTATCGTTAAAATTCCCTGCATTTACATTCTCAAGAACTAACATATGTCCTTCAAGATATGTCCATGACTGAATAACCTTATCCAAGTATTCATTATACCTGCCACCCAAATTCAAAATCCAAATGCCGAAATCCCAAATGCCAAAATCCCAAATCCCAAATTATGATTAG